ACTTTAGGTCATGACTGAAGCTGAACGTTTACACTGGAGAGGACACCCTGGTGTACAAGCTGCAGGACATACAGGAGACAGCAGGAGGTGCTCACTTCACCTTTTTTGCACCAAAATCCTATTCACATTCAGGGCACACAGTGTGCACTGTACTGAGCGGACGGCAGATTAGGTCCCGTCACACAGACCATCATTCATCCAGCTTTTCTCCTCTTCCTTTTTCAAAACCCTGTGCAGTTTTATACATCAGTCAGCTTTCAGACTGGCAGCACAGCAGCCGTCCTCGTGCACCATGCGCAAAAACACTGATATACATAATGACAACAGGCTGTTGTATCACAAACGTCCCTTTTTATCTCATCTAATCCGACAGAAAGCACTGCAGAGACAGAGGTGACCCTGGTGGCCTGTGATCAATGAGACAGTCTATTAAGCGAAGGCACTTTGATCAGTTATTCTCCGTGACACAGCACATTGTGCCGTGTGATCTGTAAAGGCTTTGGTATTTTGATGAAAAATGTATTCTTTTTGTTTTACTTGCTCAGATGTTTTAAATCATTTTTAAAATAATAAGGAGGGAAGGTGAACATGAACATTCCTACATGTGACTATGTTCCTGGTGCGACAGGATCATCTTTAGCAGGAGGAGATTATGTACAGGGACAGTGAAGAGCCAGGATGTGCTTAGTGGGGAGGTCTATGTGAGCCGACACTTCTGGGGCCCACTGCCAAAAGAAACTCAGTTATCCAGTGACGTCCAGGCCGCTTCGCCCCCAACACACACACACCTTTTAACCTTTCTTTTTCAACCCCAAGGGAAAGAAAGGGACGGCAGGGAAAAGATGAAGACGCTATTGACAAAGAGGTGAACTCAGTTCACGCAGGCCATGAGCATCAAGTTCTTTCAGTTCACGCAGGCCATGAGCATCAAGGGAGGAAGATTGAGTTCTAAAAAGAAAGCAGCCTTTCTGGATTAATCACCGTGTGTTACAGTGAACACAGATCATTAAGACAGTTTAGAAGGAGTTTAGAAGTTACATGGGTACAGAGTAAATAATAAAAAATAATGGCTGCCAAATTAACCTTCTACTTTTTGTGGTCATAGTGGCAAATATCTCACAGTTCTTATTCAATATAACCAGAGCTTTTGTTAAAAAAATGGCATGAGCCAATGCAGTAAAGTGTTTGTGAGTCAGATTCAGCCCAACAACAACAACAAAAAAAAACATTTATGTTTGACCCACATATGCCTTGGAAGTACTTGGTCACCTGCTCCCATTTACCAGCTTTGGTCCCCAGACTGGCCACTGCATTGCAGTATGTCAGACATAGATGGTCCTTCACTTGTTCCATTTGTCCATTGAGACTTTATGAAGTGAGGACCGTACTGTGGACAGGACTCAGACATCAGGACGTCCATACAGCAGGTCCCCTCTAGTCCAGCCATTTCTGCTGTCCATCTGCATTAGAGCTGAAAACTGCTAACCACATGCTTCTGAACAGATTTAATGCTAGCCTCATGTTGTGAGTGTAAAGGGTAGCATTCAGATAGTTATTTTTATTGAGCCATCTGGTTCATGTGTGTGTTTGTAGAAAGATAATAAATGCTTCTCGGTTCACGTCATTATTGATTTAGAAAATATATGTATTTCATTGTCATTTACACAAATACAATATAGATTTTTGTCAAATGTACTTTCTTCCTTCTCTCCAAGCTGTCCTTGGTGCTGCTGTGAGCAGGGGGAATGTAATCAGTGACGTAAATGCCGCGATAAGCTGCAATCAGGTATCATCCAGACGACAGAAGAGAAATGCAACTCAACAGCGGTCTTATCGCCACAATCAATTGCGGGCTCAGGCCAAATAGGAATCGACTCCAGACTCCCCACTGCACTTCTTAAAGTCTCAAACCTGCGGTTGGTTTTTGATTACTTAGTGGCTCAACCGGTCAAAAAACATCACTAAACAAATGCTTTCATACTCTCAATGTTTCCTGACCATCACAAATTATTTCTGAGTCTTTGAAAACAGCAGCAGGAAACGCCGTCTTTTTTCTGAGCTTGAAAAAGCCTGGGGGAAGACTCCCTCTCCATGGCAACATGCACCAACATCTAACTCACCCCCCCACATCCTTCTGCTGACTTGGCTCTTTCCTGACAAGCCTTTAGCCCCGCTAATGTAGCTACCTATGTAGGTTAAAGACCCCCTTGTGGTCAACAAACGCTCCAGTGCCACGGGAGACATCTCAAGGTGAACACTGTATTCGGATCACATCACATTTGGAGGCACAGGCACAAACAGACGACAACACTGTCCCAAAAGCTGCTGTTCTTGTGTCAGAAAAGGGAACACAACCATGGAAATCATTGTAACATAGCATTTGACTTCCTTATGTCACTGTATGTTTGTACATAAATTACACGTCCTACGTTACTGTAAGCACCAATACGAAGGCAAGCCTTTCTTCTTAAAGGATAGCACCTCCTTCATTTAATCTGCTGGTCCTTAAACACCTGCAGACATCCTCATTCCCTAAATGAGCCATGAAATCAATAGGACCACAACAGGGCCTTACTCAGTATAATTATAAGCATTTATCACCAAATCACAGCCTTGGATTTCAGTACCCACTCTCATTCTGGGAGGCAAATGACAGTCCAATGCCATGCACTTCATCTGTAAAGCAAGACTCAGCAAAACAATATCAGAGTGGGGGTAATTTGCAGGGGTGGGTAAAAAGAGGAACAGAAATAAGCAAGAGAACAAGGGAGGCTACATCTCAGTTCACACTGCATGAAAAAATACCACAGAGCTCTGATACTGAAACACAGTGATTTGTCAATACGGCTGATTGGTGCAGCTACTGGGTACATAGATCTGTGGGAGCTAAACTGCAGCTGACATACTGGGCTTCTGAAGAGGAGTTCATCAATTGTGGCCTTGTGTACTTGGTTAGATCACCTGCCTACGTAGATGCACTAGTGCAAATAAATTGGTTCAGAGTTCCAGCTGATTAAGTGGGGAAATATATATCTATTAAAAAAATCAAATATGATGAAGAATGAAACTACAAAAACAAGATATTTGGCAATAACTGAAGCTGCAATAGAAACACTACCTTAATTCTAACTCAGTGAAGGGAAGTTATTACCGACACATTATTAGAACACCTTGCCACACTAAGTGCTTTACCAGGACCCCTGTCCTGTGAAAGTCCTGATCTCAGCTAAGAGGCAGGCAGAGGGGACAAGCAGGAGAGGACAGGGGACAGTAAACCAGAACACTAGTGCGGAGAGAAGAGGGGGTTGAAGACATCAAGCTGCTCTGGTAGCAGGTCAGAATGTTAGGAAAGAATAAACTCTTCTTAACAATTTCCTCAGGAATAGAGACGTTGTATACCACTTCATTTGACACCGTTGTAAATTCTTATGTGATGTAACCACACCACTGGAGGCAACTTAGATGGAATGAACTGAGACACATTTTACATGCACAGGAAACACCTGGCTGCTAACAGCTCACTGCTGAGCTAGCTACCTAGCTAGCTCAGCAGCTGACCAGAGCCACTGTAATGATTTCCTTTGACGACTCATCTCCCTGCTTCTGCCTGGCTCTGCTGCACTGTTGCTATGGGAAACGTTTATGTAAGCTGTGTCTAATCCTGTTAGCTGGTACTGCTGCACGAGTGCCTGAAAATGCTGTGTTGCAAAAAAAAAATAAAAAAAATACATGTCCTTTTATGGAACAGGAATTTTTTTTTATCTAAAAAGGGAAAGAAATGTAAAGTAGCAGTATTACTATTAAAGCTTAAATGGCTGCAGGGCAGTGAAGAAGACCAGATGCATGTAATGAATACAAATTTACATCAACATATATAAACAGTCTCTGACCTATATATGAAAGCATGTGTTGTAAACATGCATACTTTTAGCTGCTCCCTTTACAGGAACATTCTGTTCCATGTCACGCTATTCCTGCTTTTTCAGTATTATGAACATGTAAATCCAAAAAGCAGTGTGGTTTTCTCAGAGGCCATTCACCAACAAGAAGTTGGTTCAAAGTATTTTTAGAGCTTTAAATCAGTCACAGTGGAATGTCACCTCACTGGTTGGAAAAGGTCGTGAGGCTGTGGCTAGATATAGTGGGGCTAACGTCGACATGTAGCTTGGGGAACCCTCTTCTTCTCTCCATTTGCCCTGATGAAAGACTCTGAGCAAC